ATTGTTTTTGTCAAAATGGTTACTCCTATCCAAGTAAATTTAAGATATATCTCGTGCTGTAGCCACGCCCACCTATCCTGAAACGGTCGACTGTTTCCGGATTTCCGACTCTCGCCGAAAGTGCGCCACCAAATGCCAAAATATGAGAGGAAGCCATACTCCTGAGCTGTACTTATATAACACTGCGTGATTCAACATACTTTTAAACGATATACATTTTTCGGTCGGCATTTCTTTTTTTTGTCAATTTTTTTTTTTTTTTTTTGAGATAGAGAGTTTTTAGAAGTTGTTTTCAGAACAAACGTTTGTGATAATTAAACGTTGTGTTGTGGGCGGTTGCAGTAATACGTATAGTCATAGTGTAAGTATTCACACTTTTCCAAACGATCCGAAGGTGCGACGTCAGTAAACGAAAGCCGTGAAAACAACGAGAAAAGGTTGGGGTGGACCTTACAGCGTCATATGTAGTGTCCACTTCACCTCAGATTCTTTTTTCGAAAAACTGTCTTCGGCCGTGAAAAAACAACTAGGTTTTAAAGAGAAGCGCCGACAACTTAAACCTGGCGCAATACCAACAATTTTGAAAGAAATAGATTCCGAACCAGCCCATGATCACCGAGGCGGATTTCAGAAGAGAGAGAGACGTCGGGTAAGTGTTTCAAATCATTTGACTTGTTTTGCCATCCTGATTATCGCTTTATAGAGACAATTAAGTTTGCGTTATGTAAAGGTATCAATAATTTTTTATAGTAACACGAAAACGACGCGTCGGACAAACAGGAAATTACGCAGTCCTTACACACTGCTAATTGTTTTCATTTTCGCAGGCTAAAAGTTTCTGTATTGTTCGGTGGTTGGTGTTGAATGTCGAATTCACACCTCTGTTACTTTCCTTCTAGCTTGATCTGCGAAATAATTTTATGGGGGCACTGGACATCTCGACCCCAAAAAATCCCGACCCGTTTTTCATACCTACAGCCAAAACAAAGTCAGCTTGGACTTTCAGTTATGAGACATGACAAAACAAACGCTGCCAGTGATAGATTTCGCGAATAAAAAACAAAATTAACGCAATCAAAGGCGCCGACCACACGCGTTGGAAATACTAGTAGATAGTACACGATGTTTCGAATTAAAAGATGTCGATCAACGTTGAACTAGATAGAGGTTCGCGTCGCCACATTGAGACAGGGTCGCGTCGATGCGGTGGGTCGAGATGTTCAATTTGGGTCGAAATGTCTTGGGTCGAGATGTCTAGAAATCATTTATGGAATAAGAATCCGGGCTTTGGCTGTCAATGCGTTATCACCAAGTAAATAAGTATGACAATCACGCTAACTCGAGTCCACTCTGAATTTGTCTGTATGTGTGTTGCTCTCAATTATTTTTGTTATCCAATTAAACGCCACCAGTCACGCACTTGTCCTCGTCGTGACCCGACGCGTTCACCCATTTCAACTGAATCTATTTCCACGCGGCGGTCATTTATTTAGTAACTGTGATTTGTCGTTTTTTTTAGTTATTTCCCTATTTTATTGATCACTATAGTTTAACGTCTAGAATGTCAAAATATGTTTTCTTTTTATTTTAATTTTGATGCTTCTACTGGAAATGTACTTCAATAGAGCATGTATGATATGATTCTTTATGGTTTTCTATCTACTATTGTTGAATCAAAATGCTCTCATTATAATTTACAGATTACGTAGAAGAGCTCTTCAATACACTAGACTTGTATGTTGGAGGAGATTGTGTATTACATACACTTGATGATGCACCCCTGCCACTCAACAGCCAGTATGCCCACCCTGACAAAGTCTCGGCAGTTCATTGCCACACTACAAGATTCACATAACAGTGTAAATACATTTCCAGATGCTGCAACAATTATGCTAATAAAAAACAGGCTACGTTACACAGTTCACAAATTTTATTTAGACTTGTGATGAACAAAGAAATATGACAATGTAAACATTGGATTGTCTGTACATGTATGTGAGGAAAATAATGTGAATAAAATATAATTTGTACATGGATTACTATTACTATAGTATATGGTTTTAATTGAGTGACACTGTGTGACAATGAAAAAAGGAAACACATCTTCAGATTTTGGAATCTATGAAAAACCAAGATTTGGTAATTTAAGTCCTAAATAATTCTCTGACATAAATATTGATAACTCTGTTACTGCTCACTCTGGCAGTACTGTAGTCTTTTTCAATGAACTTCAAGTATCCCCTCGTTAACCTGTGGAGGTTTAGAAAATAAATAAGGTCACAATCTTTATTTGGCATTTGTTTATACGTAATTCATTCGTTTTATGATGCATCTTTTTTTACTATAATAAAGGCAACTATTATTATGTTATATATGTGTTTGAATTATGGATGAAAAAAATATTGAACACATTTACAATTAGTACATAAGTATAAGCAATTGCCACCCAATCCTCTCAAACGATTATTCAAAAATTAATTATTTTTTTTTCTTCATTTTCTTTTCATAATAATATGTCAATTTTATTTCACCAAACATTTTTCAAATTTACGTTTAAAATTTTGAAACTTGCGGATGTAATGCACACCCGCGCTTCGTGTGAAGGGAAGCCAGGTCAAAACATTGGGCATTTTACGTGTGTAGAGCAGCCCACAGAGACGTCGGCCGATCCCAACAACCATATCAGAAATTGTTGATGGTGGAAAAAAATAAGAGTTTCATTTGTGCAAAAAAAAATCAAACGTGATAAAGTAAAACGCCGATGACATTCGGGCCACACGAGACACTCACGCCTTCGACCATGAACGAAAATCCAATATATGGATGCCAATGCACGTTTGAACGAAGCAGGCAATATTTCTGAGGAAATTCGCGATCTAAGTTTATCGAGCATAATAAAGAGTTCACACATACCTCTTTGAAATTATCGATAAGATATTTTATAAAGAGTAGTAAGCTCAACTAGAACAAAAAAAACTAGAACTTCTTACCGACTCGAAAGTTGTCCAGTGCCGAGGTTCAGCGATAGTTTACAAACGTGCGCCGGGGACGGTGACATCACTGCGACCTGCCACACCAGAACGGACATATCTCGCATCTAACTCAACCCCATGCAACAAATTTGATATCCAAGTGTTCATTATGGCCCGTTCTTCCTCGACGAAAAAGTACATAAGTGACAATTTAGTCAAAGACGAGAAAACTGCACAAGAAATTTGCCTTATTTACACGTATCGGCAATGCGAGCTGCCCAGCAACTTCCCTTTCTGACGTCACAAGGGGAATTTCTGTATGGCAATGAATAGCTAATGAGGAGCCTCGTTTTAAAATACAAAAAATAAAGTTGCTGTAGACTGAGTTTAAAACACATTTTTTCACTTAAAAAATATTTATGCTTA